CATTTTACCCTTTTTTTGTAAGGAAATTGACACCTAAGCACAGCTTGTGTGACAGATCCACATTTGAACCTGGGCCTTTCACCTATTATTGACCCTAAAAATTTGAGAAGGGTAATCTTGTTTGCTATGACTAAAGCTCATATGGAAATTGTTCTCTCCTTCACCCCTAACTGTACCAGGCCTCAACCAAATGGTTTAGTTTAAGTATTTTTATCCAAGAGATTCAGCTTCCCCTTTTAAATATTTTAATACCCTCTCCCAGATCTCTTTGTTCTTCCCTTAAAGTCTATTGCCCTATTATAGAAATGGATTCTAAACTGGGCCAAATTTAGCCACGGAATCATGATGTAAACTTCAGGGGGGAAAAACATGAATTTTCCCTACTTACCTGAAGAATTAATTTACTTTATTAGACTAGTGGATGCAGAGGTTATTTTTGCTGGGTAATAATTTAGCCTTGGTTTTAATTTCCACAACCTGTCATTTGATATTCTGATATACTTTGGTCACCTCAATGAAAGTATTTATCCAAAGTGGTCTTCTAAATGTGAGGAAAGGGCCCAGAGAGAGAACATATATCATCCACCATCTTCATGGAAAGGTAGAAAGAACAATAGATAAAGATTATAAGATCAGATTCATTTGAGTTCTGCAAATGACTAGCTATTTAATCTTGGGCAAGTAATTTCACTAGTCTGGACCCAAATTTTCTCATCATTGAAATGAGAGTGTTAAGCTGAATACCCTCTCAGCTCTTTCAGCCCTGACATTATTTGATTCTTGTGCCAGAGCATAATTTCATGATACACTACACATTTTTATTCCAAACACACAGACATCATCTTAAATTAGATTGACTCAAGTTCCCCATGTAAACAATTGTGGCTATTGCCAAAATTTGCTAACAAAGAGAAAACAGGTGTGGTATGTTTCAAATTATTTTTCTTTTAATGCTATGAGCACATTTTTGATGTGTTGAAAAACTGCAAGGTATGCTGCTCTTTATCTGACTCATTAGCTCATACCAAAAATATTTTGCAGAGCCTCTTTCATACCTTTTCTGGAACATCTTCCAAAGTTGAACAAAAATATTTGAACAAGATGTCTTGATTAAAAAAATATATATCTGTGTTAGAGAAAAAAGCAAATATACAAACTGGATGTTAATCTTTCTGTTTGATAAACCAAAGCATATTGATAAACCCCTGCCAAATAGTTGAAATGTATTATAAACGAACATAACTTTTGTTGGACGGGCATGCTGGCTGAGCTGTAGAATATAGCCTAAAGGCATTTATAACTTGGTAGAGATAGGATATAGAGTTCTCACGGGGGACACGATTGAAATTGTAAAATGCTTTGGAAAGCAGAAATTCCAAACTATCATCTTCCCGGCAGATGTAATTACTCTCATGCATTCTGACTTCACAGCAAACACTGATCTAGTTACCATTTGGGGAGAAAGTTTCCCAAACAAACCATTTGTGGCATCCTTGGAAATATTGCTAGATGGTAATGTATTATAGGAAGGCTTGGTATCATTCTAAACTGAAGTTTGTATTCATTGAGTATTTTGATTTTAAAAAGACTCAAGGAAGTACATAAGCTCAGACCTTAACATACACACATCTAGTTGGCACTCAGATCAGTAACCAATTGACCTTGACAAGCAGCCCCACCTGAGACAGGGCGGCTTATCCTAACACACAGTGGGATGCAGCAGCTCTGGTCTGTTTCACTTCTTCCTGAATATCCTGTGCGGCTCATCTGAATACAGAACTGCTGTTTCCTATACAAGTGACTTGATATTTGAGATCAGCTCAGAAGGCCAGTCTCCACATGCTTTCTCTAATGCCCGCCATGGCCTTTTCCTTCAAATACCCCTGTCTTCCCCCCACTGCTGTCCTTCCATTACCAACTCAGTCACTTTCACCTTTCTTCCTTCCTTGACTACCCCAACCTGGGTGCCTGTAGGGGCCCATGGAAAAATAAACTTTCCATCTTCAAAGAAGAAAAATAGGCAAACCCTGTAAAGAGCATGGAGGAAATTCAGATTGGGCAGAAGGGGAGCAAGAAGACACATGGCTTTTGCTGCAATGAATGGACAGTCATGCTTCCCTAGCTGCATGTTTGGTCCTTATTTTAAGGGCCCTAATTTTCTCTGACTCAGTTTTTATTCAAAACCAAGTTGCTCTCTTATCTGAAGGAGGGTAACAAAATACTAGGTGAAGCATAACATTCTTGTATTTCCCTCTGAATCTTTAAGAAAGACTGTATAGACCAGTGGTTCTGAACCTTCCTAATGCCACGGCCCTTTAATACAGTTCCTCATGTTGTGGTGACCCCCAATCATAAAATTATTTTCATTGCTACTTCATAACTGTAATTTTGCTACTGTTATGAATCGTAATATAAATATCTGATATGCAGGACGTATTGTCATTGTTATAAATTGAACATAATTAAAGCATATTGATTAATCACAAAAACAATATGTAATTATATATGTGTTTCCCGATGGTCTTAGGCAACCCCTGCGAAAGGGTCGTTCGACCCCCAAAGGGGTCGCGACCCACAGGTTGAGAACCGCTGGTATAGACCGTAAACATTACCCTTGCAAATAGTGTTGTCCCATGAAAAACTCACTTTTACTACAGTAGCACATGGGGCTGGGCCTTGGGACAGAAAGGCGGGGGCGGGGGCACTTCCTCTGCTCCCGGACAAGTGAATGCAGAGATGGGGAAAGGAGAAGTCTAGGCTCACCATGTGATTAAGATAAGAAATCCTCTGGGTCATTCGTCTATCTGCGATCTGTACGGTGGTGGGAGCTGCAGGAGGGACTCAGGGAGACCCAGGAAAAACTAGAAATGCCCCTTCTCCAGGTTGCTGAACCCTTCTAGATGCCAGATCAAGACCACTGACATTAATTGGTGCCTGAAATATGGACAATTTGGAGATGAAGTATTCGCCTGAGCACGAGTGATGGTGAACTCCCCCAAGCCAGTGTGGATTCCTGCAAGAACAGATCCCAGAGAGGAACTGACCAGATTGCTCCAGCCACATAATAGAAGTGGCCCCCAAGACAAGAGGAGAAACAGTCCAGAAATGAAGATGGTGAAGACGCCTTGCCATGCTAGCAGTCAGCAGCTGTGCGTCGCTGCAGGTTGCCTAGATCCAAACCAGAGGATTCAGTGGCCTTTGAGGATGTTAATGTGGAGTTCACCATGGAGGAGTGGGCTTTCCTGGATCCGACCCAGTAGAAACTCTACACAGATGTGATGCTAGGAACCTTCTAAAACCTGGCATCAGTAGCATGAAGAAAAATGGGAAGACCATAATAGTGAAGATCAGTATGAAAATCATGGGATGAATCTTAGCAGTCATATGGTAGAGAGACTCTGTACAAGGAAGGATGGT